CAGAGCCTGACGCGGGGCTTGAACTCACGGACCGCGAGATCGTGACCTGGCTGAAGTCGGACGTTTAACCGACTGTGCCACCCAGGCGCCCCCATTTTTTGTTTTTTAAATGAAGACCTGGGTGAAATAGGTGAAGGGGGACCAAGGACACACCTGTTGTGATGAGCAGAGTCGCAGATGGAATTGTAGAGTCGCTGTGGTGTATTCCTGAAACTGATGCAACGCTGCATGTTTGCTGGAATTAAAAAAAAGCTAAAAAACCCTTAAAGCCAGTCATCAGAGACCACCTGGTTTATGGTCGCATGTCTGTGAAATGTCCAGAACAGGCACCTCTGTAGAGACAAGGGTGGGTGGTGGTCATCTAGGATAGGGGGGAGGTGGAAGGATCGGGGACAACCGCTAAGGGGTGACGAAAATGTTCTGAAACTGACTGATGGTGGGGCCCCAGCTCCCGCGAATATCCCGAAAGCCACTGAGCTGTTGGCTGTGGGAGACTGACGTGGCATGGGAATGAGATCTCCGGAGAGCGTTTTAACAGTAGGGCTCCTATGCTGCCCAGCGACACAGCTGCTAAGACTGCCTTGTACTTGGAAGTGGAGTCAGGTCCAGCTTGATGAGGAAGAGGTGGGCGGGGTTGAACACTGGCTGTTAACGAACATCTGCTGGAAAGAGAGTGTGAATCATGAAGTGGCCCCTGAGCTTCCTGTCGACACCTCTCCCCTGTCCCCGGCCCGCCCCCCCCCCCCCCCCCGTTCTTGTGCTCACAGGCTGACACCCCGGCCGCCGATGGGCCAGGGTCTGTGTCACTGCTTCACACCTGGCCTTTTGCAGAGACGGCCTTGCTGTGCCACAGTCCCCTGCACATCCTCCACAACCCCCGCCTGGTTGCTGTCACCCCTGTAAAATACCCCCGGCCCCAGGTTATATTTGAACCTGACTAGACATAACCAGCCAGGGTTTCAAAATAACCCAACTCAGGGAGGGTGGGGGGTTGAGAAATAGAGCTTGTATGACCCATGGCCTCTCCCCAGCTGTTCACTCTCTAGTAAGGATTTAGTGGTAGCATTTGAGAGGATGAATTGTTTTATGAAATTGTTTTCTTAATGTGTAAATCGGTCTGTGTGAGAAGTGTGCCTAAGCGTGTCATTTCTTATAAATGCGTGTGTCCATGTTTGTGTTTGTACAGGTTCACCAGAGTGGCTCGGGCTGGTCTCCAGTGGTGAGTTGGTTTTGTTTTGTTCTTCAATGTTTATTTTTGAGAGAGAGAGTGCGCATAAGTCGTGGGGGCGGGGGGTGGGGAGGGAGACAGATTCCAAAGCGGGCTCCAGGCTCTGAGCTGTCAGCACAGAGCCCGATGTGGGGCTCAAACTCACGAACCGTGAGATCGTGACCTGAGCTGAAGTCAGAGGCTTAACTGACTGAGCCACGCAAGTACTCTATTATTTCTCTTTGCCTTATTTTCAGGGTAGTGTGTCGTGTGTACGTAGCAGATGTGGGTTGGGCTGGCAACACTTTCCTCAACCCAACACTCAGTCAGCAGATACTTACTATCGAAGGACTGTTTTAGGTGCAGGGAATACAGTTAAGATCAGGGACTGGCAAACTGTTTCTCCGAAGGGTCAGATAGTAAATATTTGCAGTTCAGGGATGGTACGCTACCCGCTGTTGTAGTGTGAAGGTAATAATACGTGAACGAATGACCACGGTTGTATTCCAATAAAACTTGACGTACGAAAGCAGAAGGTGGGTGAGATTTGGCCTGGAAGCTAAGGTTTGCCAACCCAGGTGAGAGCAGTTAAAGGATGCTTCAACTGAGGTTAGGCTGCAGCACAGGGCCCCAGGGGGCCTCTTTCAAGTCCCCCCCCCCCCATATGGTAACGCTTCTTCTCCCCCTGCTCAAAACGATTTGTGGGTTTAAAGAATGAATAGACCCAAGGCGCCTGGGTGGCTATCGGTTAATGGCCTCACTCTTGGTTTCAGCTCAGGTCGTGAGCTCACGGTTTGTGAGGTCAGGCTCCGTGCTGACAATGCAGAGCCTACTTGGAATTCTCTCTCTCCCTGTCTCTCTCTCCGTCCGTCCCTCCCTCTCTCAAAATAAATCATAAACTGGCAAAAAATAATGAATAGACCCATAAGTCACGTGGTCATTTAGTTCCCCAAATGGTTTTTTCATTTTGAGCTCAGATAAATGACAAGGAAGTGCCTTGCCCTGTGGTTTTAAATGTTTCTTGTTTCATCCTGTTTAGTTCTTGGAAGACAACCTGGGGGTGATGTCCGTGGGTTTCTTGCTCAGCAGTCCTGACGATGCCGTTATCTGGAGGGGACCAAAGAAGAATGGTTTGCCACTCCACTTTTTCTCTTTGCTTACCACCTTCCAAGGGCAGCCTGGCCCGTCAGGATGGCAACTGTGATCTGCCGGGCTTTTGCACTGTATCATTTGTAAGCATCTCGTGGCCTCTGTTGTTGCCTTCACTGGTTGAAGAGAGCCGAACAGAAATACCAGGGGCTGTTTGACAATTTTTAACATCTATGGTGGGATTTTTCTCCTTAAGACCTCTGTAACTCTGAAATTATTTTCACTGTGGTTTTATAGTAGCTTTTCGATGCCCAAGAAAGGTGTGAGGTGACATCATAGCAAGGTGATTGGGCCGCTGAGGCTTAAGGTAACCATGCAAAAGCGTCTTTTAGGACAGGGCTCCTGAGCCCAGGCCCTCGCGACTTCTGGGGCCAAGAGAATTCTCTGTTAGGGGAGGGGTGGACTGTGTTCTGCCTTCTCGGGTGCCGGCACCCCGGCTTCTAGCTGCCAGATGCCAGTAGCGCGCCCCACCCCAGCCGTGGGCAGACACCCCTGATTTAGAGCACAGACCAAGTGTACGTGAAGATCCTGAACCGCCTCTACAGAGTCGTGAGTACGGAAACGAGAAAGAGAAGGGCCTCACTGGATCTCTCTTCAGGCATGATCAAGCAGTTCCTTCGGGACGTGGACTGGGGAGAGGTCGACTACCTCATCGTGGACACCCCGCCAGGCACGTCGGATGAACACCTCTCGGCCGTCCAGTACCTGTCCGCGGCACACGTCGATGGGGCGGTGATCATCACTACTCCTCAGGTGAGCGAGCGCCCGGGCAGAGAGGGCGCCACGCTGTGCCCTGTCGAACGGTTTCTTTCTCGTGCGGTCTCGAGCCCCTTTTCTTGAAGCAGCTCCCGCCAACACGTGCTCTGACCGCCCTCGGTTCGGATCTGCAGAAACTTGTGAAACGTTTTGTCTGTGGTCCAGGCGTTTGCTGTGTACGAAATGAGCATGCTGCAGTTCTGTCCACAGATTAAACAGCGGCTCGAAATCGCTTTGAAGTGTCCTTCACCAAGCCCGCAAGGCCACTGGTGCTGTTAGAATTCAGCCCGTCCCTCGTGGTCACCTCCCCCCTCACTGTGCCCCTGCATCCATCCCCCTGCAGTGCTTCCGTTCACGTCTCCGACAAACGGAGGAAGCCTGGTTTTCCGTACAGCCATCTTCGGGTATAGACAGGCGTCTGGATAAGCTGCTACAGCCCTTGCCCCTTCTTTAGCGACGCCCGGGTCCTCCTGTCCCAGTCGCACGCAGGCCGTGCTGGGAGCACGCTGAGGAGAGAGCAGTAGCGTCAGCCTGAGTGAGCCCAGCGGTGAACAAACACGGTCAGGTTTGCGATGTGCTCTGTTCTTGTCATTGCTCTCACAGGGTCCCAAAAAACGAGTTACACCCGTCACGGTACTCTCCTCCACTCCTAAGAAAGCACAAGAAAGTAGGTTTTTGTCTGCGAGGCAGTCAGTATCACCCCTTGTCAGACCTGCGCCGAGCACCCACTACGAACACGCCCCGGGCCAGGCGCCAGGGAGGGAAAAGGCCGGTCCTCCCTCAGGGCCTGTGCGGTTCACGGAGGAACGTGGGTGCCGGACGCAGTGCATTTGTGGCGCTCCGACAAGCGGGGGTGACCACGGCGGGCCACGTGGGGATGCCTGGGTCAGGGAGTGGACGACGCGACAGGCACGAGAGAGGGCTCTGGTGCTGGTCAGGGGGCCTCTGCGGGGCGTGCAGAGGAGCAGATACGCCCCTCTGGTGGCTGCAGCGGAGGGAGCACCTGTTCCAGGGAGCGGCAGTGGAGGGAGGGTGGCTTTGTCCTTAGGCTGGTCGGGGCCACTCCAGGCCGGCCACACGATTGAGTGTGGTCCCAACAGGTTACCGCAAAGGAAAAGCATCTGTTCGGAATGCAGCGCCATGTCGTGGGATGTTGATAGCGGGGAGGCGTTAGGGGGGTGGGCGCAGGGAGCATACAGGAACTCTTGCTGTTCAGTTTTGTTGTGAACTGGTTCAAAATCATCTGTTGAGAAACCACAGAAATCCACTTTGCATCAAGGTGGCTTCTTCAGGGCCGCCTGGGTGGCTCAGTCAGTTCAGCATCCGATTTCGGCTCAGGTTCATGAGTTTCAGTCCCACGTTGGGCTGTCGGCTGTCGGCTCTCGGCTCAGCCTGCTTTGGATCGTCCGTCCCCTTCTCTCTGCCCCTAGCCCACTCACGCTTGCTCTCTCAAAAATGAAGAGACGTTAAAAAAAAAAAAGGCTAAGGCAACTTGACTGTGAAAGAGAGCACAGACTGCCCCTTGGGCTCAAGAAGAGAGGCACAGCAAGAGCAGAGGCTGGCCCTTCTCCTGGAAGCCATGGAAGAACACTCCACATTTGTGTGCCCTTCCTCCAGAACCTCTCGGCAGAGTGTGACATGACAGTAGGGTCTCCCGGTTTCTCAGAGCCCTTCACAGCCACCGTTACAGGCAGCGGACCCTTTTGGGGGGCGTTTTTGACACAGCGGCGCCACCAAGGAGAGAACGACACAGGTGCGAGGAGATGCGGGGACTCTTACCAGCTGATCTTCTCGCTAAATGTCTTTGTGTCTCTCCCTCCGTGCCAGAGAGACCGAGAACCAAAGGTGTGCTCAGGAGAGAGGGAGGACTGGAAGCCTTGAGCCTCCGGGCACCCCCCACGTGGTAAAGCCACAGACGTGTCTGCAATACTGTGGCACCGGGGCGTGGAGAGGGTACTAAGCAAGGATTACACACAGTGCTCACGCTGTCAGACGAACTTTCAGAGTTCAGAAGTGAATCCGATCTCAATACGGGAATGTGCCTTAGTTTCTTGTCCATAAAGCTGTGTTCAGAAGTTGAGATCAGAGATTAGCAAACCTTTTTTTTTTTTTTTCTAAATGGCCAGATATAAGTATTTTAGGCTTTATGTCTCCTACATCCTGTCACAGCTACTCCCTTGTACCACTGGAGGACAAAAGCAGCCTGGGATGAGATGTGAAGGAATGGGCGTGGCTGCGTCCAGAAGTTTATAAAACCAGCAGGCCCACCGTCCCCTGATCTAGACAATGGTGCACAGTCGTGTACTGCTGAGAAAACAACCCTGAGGTGTCTTAAAAGGTTATTATTCTGCACATTCATTGTACGTTTACCATATGGCTGTTCAGGTTTATCCTTTCGGGGTTTGTGGGAGTCTATGCCCCGAACAGGCGTCAGCACGTGGTCGGCCCCAAATACTTATTAAAGTGAGGCTTTCTGGTGCCGAATCCACTGCACTGCCACCCCTGCCCGCACACGGTCTGTCTTCACTTTGATCTTGAAATAAATGGTGTTTTGAACCTTGACAGGAGGTGTCCCTCCAGGACGTCCGCAAAGAAATCAGCTTCTGCCACAAGGTGAAGCTGCCCATCATCGGAGTGGTGGAGAACATGAGTGTCTTCGTCTGCCCCAAGTGCAAGGTGGGAGTGCGGTGGCCCAGGCCTGGCCGCCCAGGCCCTTCCTCGTAGTGGTGGAGGAGAGCCCGGGACATGGTTTCTGTGTCACAGTTTCTGCTTTCCCCCTCATTTTGGGAAGTGGGATCACACCCACATAAAATACTGCTGATTTAAGGAAAACTCTGCTGGGGTGGTTACTGTTTCATATTCAAACAGCCATTTTTTAAAGTTGCTTTAAAATGTCCAGTTTTAATTCTGAAAACAAAGTCCTAACTCTTCCCTTTTAACTTGCCTCATAGAAAGAGTCTCAGATATTCCCACCAACGACGGGGGGCGCGGAGGTCTTGTGCCAGGATCTGAAGATCCCTCTCCTCGGAAGAGTGCCTCTGGACCCACACATAGGTGGGTGAGTGTGAGCGCTGATCTCAACTTTGTGTCGCCAAGCAGGGTGTTCACACCCCGCGCGACCGTGGACAGTGGGGCCACAGATGAAGGGCCCGCTCTCAGGTGCTCACCTCCAGGCGAGGGAAACCGTAGGCTGCGTGGGTGTGTAGTCAGAGCGAGTAAACCTCTGGGTCACGAGGGGGCCGCGTGGGGCCTGGAACATGGGTCACGACTGTCTGCAAGATGCTGGGAGGCCATGGGAGAGGAATTCACCCAAGGCGAGGGGGCCGGAGGAGGACTGGGCAGGGGTATGCTGGGCGGTCCCGTCTCAGGAATTAGGTTCTGAGGTGAAAGTCCTGAACACAGTTAGCCTGGAAGACCCCTTAGGAAGACTTTCTGCCTCTTAGGAGGTCCAGCACAGCACTGAGGGCCCTGTCTCTCAGCACTAGGTGAGGGTGTTGGTCTGCCTTCAGGGGCTATGTTACATGAAAAATGCCCCCTTTTTAAAAAGATTATTTTAATGTTTATTCTTGAGATACAGAGACAGAGCAAGAGTGGGGGAGGTTCAGAGAGAGAGGGAGACACAGAATCCGAAGCAGGCTCCAGGTTGCGAGCTATCAGCACAGAACGCGACGCGGGGCTCCAACTCACAGACCACGAGATCGTGACCTGAGTTCAAGTGGGACACTTAACCCACTTGAGCCACCATGTGCCCCCAAATGCCCCGTTTTTAATGCCAGAGTCCCGCACATCCCCTCTAGACAACCCCGTGAGCGGCAGTGAGCCTGGAGGAGGGAATGGTGGACCCCGTCCCCATTGTGTGTTCACTGTTGCTAAGTGGCATGGTGGGGAGGGCAGTCCACACCTTTTAAGTTATACCTGCCTCCACATTTGTTTCCCGGGGACCACAGAGTTGAACTTGGGTATGTCGGCCGTGCCTGTGACGTGCAGAAGTGGTGGGGTGGGAGCACGAGCAGAGGGGCCTGGGCCTGCAGGAAGCCAAGGGGCGAAGGCTGGAAGGTAGGCTGGAGCCCAGGTGTGGACAGCTTTGCAGCCAAGCTTGGCCGCTGGGCCTTCAGCAGTTGGGAAATGAGAATCAGACCCTGAGCCAGGGCACAGGGGCGAGTGCTGAGAGGGAGACCTGCAGGCGGCTCTGCAGGGGAGTGGGGAGGAGGGTAGGACTTGCCCGGGGCTGGGCGTTGCCATGTAGAGGAAGGGACGTGCAGGAGTGGGAAGGGGACAGGACTTGATGGTTGGGGAGAAAGTTGGCTGAGGTCCCAGCCATCTAGGAGCTGGGGCCGATGGGCAGCCATGACCATGGGAGACACGGGTGGGGGGAGGGCCAGGTTCCTACTCCCGTGCTGCTGCTTAGAGGCAGGGGAGGCTTGAGGGTTGGCAGCAGGCTGGGGAGCTGTGTGGGCCACGCCCAGGCAGGCCAGATTGTTGGAGGGCTGGAGGGAGGTGGGGCCGAGAGCACGGGGTGGAGGGTGAGTGCGGGCCTGCCCCAGGACTGCGTGCCTCTCTGGAACCCTGGGGCCCAGGAGAATATCCCGGGAGCCTTTGCTCCCCCTTGAGAAGCACTCTGCGCTGGGGGCCCCCCAGGTACCACAGGAAATCCCAGCTGTTCTTTTAGGGAGGGAGATTAACCACTTTGCGCCGACCAGGGGTGGTGCTGAGTTCTCCCTTTTCCCTCGGGTGGTCAGAGCACAGGTCTCCTGCTAAAGGTCCCCAGCGGCAGATGGAGCACAGGGGCGCTGCTGAGGGACAGGCTGGGCAGTGGCTCCGGGCGCACCCACTGCTGTGAGCCTGTACCCTCGCTGGAGTCCGGGTCCCTCAGATCCCTATGATAGGATGGGAGAGGCCCGGAAGAGCCTGTCCAGGCTCGGGGAGCCCCAAGCCAGTGTGCAGGTCCCAGCCCCGGTGAGGGAGACAGGCAGGGAGGCAGCTGCCCTCCTGCCTGACTCCGTCCACTAGTCACAAAGAAGCAAAGTTCTAGCACTTTACAAGAGCTGCTAGCAGAGGCCCCCGGGGGTGGCTGCGGCTCAGTCTGAAGCTAAGAGAATGAAGTGTCTTCTAGGGAGCAGTCCCGTGTGACATTACATGTCCCCGAGGCTCATTTGTCGTTGAAATCACGAGACCAGCGAGGAAAGGGGGTTAGCACGTTCGTACAGTGGAAAGGAGGACAAGGCGGTGAGGGCACTGTGACCCTCGGGAACTCTTGTCCAGCGGGAGCCAAGGTGGATGCCCAGACACAGACAGGAAGGGATGAAGCGTGCACTCCAGCCTGGGTGGGAGCCCTGGGGCAGGAGGTAAGGCCACCTCACTCGCCCTGGGGTTCTCAGCCCCTCCCCGGCCTCAGAGTCCTGCTTCTCCCCCCGCCGGCTGGAGGCTCCAAGTCCTGACAGCCGCATCTGTAAGAGGGGGTGACAACAATGCCCCCCATCCCTGCCGGGGGGCTGCTGCTGCATCGATGTCCCCAGAGGATACCAGAAAGCCTCAGCAACAAGCTCTTCTGACAGGACTGTTCTTAGAGCACAGTCAGAGGAAAGGGGAGCCTTGAAAATGGGGAATGAACCAGGGTACCTTTGGAAGGGGAGGGCCTACTGGGGAAGGGAAGACTTGAGAACATCGTGGCCATCACGGGACTCTGCTGGGATTCCCCAGACCTAGTCTAGCTACCACATTTCTGCCATGGTCCCAGGGTAGCCCGGGCTCATCTGGGCTCCACCTCTGCCAACCCCCTCTCCTCTTGGATCCTCCCTGCACCCCCCCCCACCTCGGTTTCCCTGGCCCTGTGCCCAAGTACGAGGGGAAGTGAGGAAGGGATAGTGCAGCACTTGGCCTTGCCACGGCCCACCTAAGGTTGGGGGAGCAGAACCACAGACCTGCTTCTCCAGCAGTGCTGGGTAGGCTGATGGGGTTCTGCCCAGGATACGGGGAGAAAAGAGCACCTGCCTGCCAGGGTCTCCGACCACTGCCAGAGGTCCTGGATCCTAGGACCCCACTGTGTGTCCTTGGGAGGGTGCCGGGAAAGCCCAGCAGACAGGTGGCCGCTGCCATGGAAAACGCACCGGGTGGAACCCACATCTTGTATACTCCTGTTCATTTTGTGTGTTTCTGAGCTTTGCTCTTGTCCGGTGAGGCTCAAGGCCTTCCTAAGGTCACGTGACCAGAAAGAACCCCCAGTTTGTGTGGCCACTGTCTTCACCGATGTTTTTTCATTTATCTCAAGGTAAGAGTTGTGACAAAGGACAGTCTTTTTTGATTGATGCACCGGATTCCCCAGCTGCTTTAGCCTACAGAGGTATCATTCAAAGTACGTGTGCGTGTGAGTCCCGGGAACTCAGAGGGCTGTGGGGCTGAGTGGGAGAAGATCCTGTCTAGGGTCATCTGTGGAGCATTAGGGTCACTGCCATGCAGCCTCAGGTGGGGACGGGAGGGCTAGTAGGGGCTGGGATGACCCTCAGCCCAGGAAGCCAGGCGTCTGTGAGAAACTGGTTAAAGGAAAAAAACAAACCTGTGCCGACCTGACTACATTGGTGGGCGGCGATTGGAAGCCTGGATTTCAGGGGGGGGCTGGGAGGGGTCAGTGGTTAAAGCTTATAGGCTCATGGCGCACGGTGGAGTTCCTTTTACCTAGGAAGATGGTGTCCGGGGCCAATACCAGCATTCCCAGGATTCTTGATCTGTGGAATGAGCCGATGGGAGACAGGGCAGCAGCAGGACAGGGCTGTTTTGGGAGTTAGGCCGTCTGGGGGTTCAGCCCTCACCAGCACAGGCACGGCTGCCGGAGGCACTGCCTCCTCGTCACTGCTTCTGTGTCTCGTGTTCCAGAAATCCAGGAGTTCTGTGGTCTCCATCAGCCAAAAGAAGAGCACCTCATCAGCTCCTGAAACACAAGAGAACACTCAAGACGCAAGCCACACTTGCACTCCGGCCTGAGCAGCGTGGGGACAAAGTGGGGTCACAGGCACAAAGGGACCAGACTCTGGTATGGCGTGAAGTCATTTTCTTAGGATTTGTATACTTTTCAACACACATAGAGGCATTCTTTACAAACATGCCTCTTAAAAATAAGAACCTCAAACCTCTCCCCCAAGGCCTGCTTCCAGGAAAGAGCCAACGGCTTACTGGTCGGGGAACTCTCTGCTGGAAGCTTGTGCAGTTATAGAACTTCTCCCTCAAGACACTGCTGCCTCAGAAGATAAGCCTAAAAAAGAACCCTGGTGATGGATGTGTGGCTTCACTGCAAAACCCAGTCATGGCTTCAAGTAGCACAGTCCAAACGCTGCTTCAGAATGAGGGAAAAATTAGTCCCCAGAAGCCCTTGAAAAGCTCTTAAATCACCCATGGAAACAGAAGAGGTCATCTGTGTCTGTACCTAGTGCACACTATATCCTGTAATTTCCAGCATCCTGTAAGAGAGCTTATAGGGCTTTTGTTTTTTTTTAATTACATAAAAGGAGACACCCATGTAAATTCTAGAATTCTCTTCATTGCCAGGAGACGTGCAGGAATGGACACTGAGGGAAGAGTAAATTCCCGTTTCCCATCTCTCTCGGGGCGTGGGCAGACAGATGGGCAAACCCCTCGTTCTCTCCCTCTCTTTCTCTCATTTCCTGCCCCCTCCCTTCATGCCTGCACATATGGTTGATTTTGTATGTGTTCAGTGTGAGGAAAGGGCAGGGGGGAGGCCTGCAAAACCCAGAGGACACAGGCTGGCTCGCCCCTGGCTCTGTGCCCAGGCCCCCACCTTGATCCCACCTCTTACCTAATGCTTGTGAATCTCCAGCCCCTTGAGGCCAGGCTTCTGGAAGTCCCTTGGGCTGGCCTGCAAGGGGAAAAGTCAGCTGTGGCTTTGTCCTCACAAGTGAGGGGCCTGATTCTGCTGATTCAGGGGCCAGAGCAAACCCACGATGTAACCAAAAGCCCACAGAGCTCATCGCTCAATGTCTTGGTCTAAAGCAGCCCTGGTCAGATTTTACGATGGTTCAACCAGTTGTAAGAAGAGCCTGGTCAAATTTCAGAGGTTACTCTCACGTGTAGAAATATATGCAAAGTTAAAAAATATTTTTGTGTGGTATTTTTGGGGGGTACTGACAGGGTAGCTTGGTTGATACAGAAAATGTTAAAATTGCATTGGCTAGTGGGCCGCCTTCCCTTTCGGCGTCTGGAATGCAGGGGTCCGGGAGGAAGACTCTAGTAACTCACCGTCTGGAACACCATCTGGGACAGAAAACTGGCTGTGATTTTGCTGATGTCCCTCTCACCTCCCATCTTACAAAGGATGTAGCCATAGAGGTTAGCAGCTTGGAGAGAAATCCCAGCTATCACAAGGGCCTGCGCTCAGACAAAGCAAATTCTTTTAAGAGCATATATTGAACCCCACCCACCCCCTCCCCCCAAACCACATAGAAGCAACTCTGGCCTGTACCTAGTCACAGCCAACCTGCTCTGAGCACTCGCCGATCATCATAGGTACCTTGTCAACAACCCAAGAGGTTGGTGCCGTTATCATCCCATTTTACAGGGAAGAAAGTGAAGCCCAGAGAACCAAAGTTGCCCACAGTCCCAGAGCCGATGCAGGGCTGGACTGGCATCCATACTCCAGAGCCCCTGCTTTTAATTATACTGCTGCTCCTACGGTCTGTGGGTATTTTGTTTTCCCACTAAGTGAGGCAGATCACAGCACTGAGACGGTAAGAAAACTGAAATGAAACTTCCTAACTCTGAGGTGAGCTTATTCCTATTGAGGAAGGGCTCCAAAGTAGGCTAGCACATGCTTTTGCTTTCAACTCCTTCCTCAGCATTATTCCTAGGCATCCAGAAGATCCAGCCCATGGCCATCGGTGGGGGAGTGGATAGAGCAAATGTAGCGTGGCGGTATAGGGGGCTATTACACAGCCATAGAAAAGGAAAGAAATACTGATAAATGCTGCAACACCGACGAACCTTGAAAATCCCATGTTAAGTGAGAGAAGATCACAAGCAATCATGTTCTAGAATTCTAGTTATAGGAAGTACCTGGAATAGGTGAGCCTATTGAAACAGAAGAAGGAGGAGCAGGGCCAGGAGGGAGTGAGGGCTAAAAGGTACAGGGTTTCTTTCTGGGGGGATGAAACTGCCCCCACACTGGCTGCGGTGTTGACGGCACCACAGTGAATCCCCTGGAAACCCGGCGAACGGCACACGCCAATGGGTGAATGGCCCGGTACGTGAAGTATCTCGGTAAAGCGCTTTCCAACCAATTGGCAGACGACAACGGAACCCGCTCGTGCCCCCTGTTGCGCGCAGATGGCGAAGCCACGCCAGGGCCAGGCGGTGCCTTACCAGCCACTCGAGCTTCAAGGAGAACAAGGTGCTGAAGAAGAACACGGTCCAAATCAGCGGGCAGATGACGAGGCCAAGCCAGAAGATGCGCGCCTCCGCTTCTGTGGCCGCGCCGCGCTGCGGGGACGCCTGCGGGGAGGGAGGGCCCCGTCTTCAACGGGAGCGCGCTCCCGTGCTCGCTCTCTGCATGCGGCGGCCACCGGGCGCAGGGCCGATGGGGGCGGCAACCAGACCCTCATGGAGCCCAGAGGGGACCCGCGCAAACGTCCACGGCCACGTCCCGGCTGCGAGGCGGACCCGTAGCGGACGGTACCTTTCTGGCCTCAAAAATCCAGCGGCCCTTCCCGTCTTCGTCTATGTGGTTCCACCAGCGGAGGCCCACCAGCAGTCTCCCGGTCACGTTCTGGGGGACACGGACAGAAGGACCCCGGGCACGCCGTAAAGAACAAGTCGTCTTTTCACTGACAGACAAAAGTCTGTTCGTGTTGAACTTGTCCCGGGAGTAGGGGGAGAGGGGAAGTGAACCGTGGCAGGTTCTGAGAATCCGTGGGAGTCTCCTAATTTTCAACTCAGTTTACCTGTAAGTGACTCCCCCCACCACCACACACAACCCCCCCCCCCAAAAATATGTGGCATATTTTAAACGTATGCCAGGTTTGCCAAAAATCCAAAGCCAGGTGGAGCTGTCACTCGCATAAGACACGTCCTTGCAGGGATGACAACTGAGGACCAGAACCATCGTTCAGCTCTGAACAATGGGTTTTAACTTGAATTTCAAGTAATGTCGGCTCAGTATGTATTTGCAGTTTCAACGAAAGTACCTCTCGGCTCAAATCGGCCACGTGCAGCAGGAGGGTCACCATCTAGAAACACAGCCCTTGTGTTTCTGGATCGATGGCATCATGAGCGAAGGGGCCTTACCTTCACAGACCAGAAGTCAAAGGACAGGAGGAGAAGCACAGTGACAAAGCAGCCCACAAAGCTTCTGCTGAACCAGTCACAGCACGCATAGGTGACGATGGCGCTCACTCGGAAAAACAGATGGAAAAAGGTGGCCAACGGGTGCCTAGGAAAGAACCCAGAAGCCCCCTCACTGCAAAGGCCAAGAGGGCACCGAGCTCACTCTGTGGGTTCTGACTTTCCGCGTTGTCCCCGGTGCACCGCGAGCCCGACTCAGGCCGCAGCTCTGCAAACGTCCCTAAGTCACAAGTTCTGAAACAGTCATTAGTATACTAGCATCTCTCCCCTCTCGAAGAATCCAGTACTTTCCCCTAACTCGATTTCAAAGATCACTTGCCTTCTTCGAAACTTGGGTACCTCTGAAGTGAAACAGGACAGTGGTCACTGCCTCCCCACCTGGCAGTGATAAGGACCAGTTCCCTAAAGGTAAAGGTTGGGTTATTCCACCAGTAACAGAGCAGTCCACGTGCAGCCCACGGGTGCAGTCTCGTGTCACCGGGGAACGCGTGTTCCTGGAGAGAGGGAAATCCTGACTCGTCTCGCAGCAATTTATAAAGACAAAAGTCTGAGAGACCAGAGACCCAAGGTTAGATGGATGACGAGGCCACCCATGTATCCAGGGCGGAGAGAACAAAGACCTATAGGGGTCAGGCAGGTGCTGGTGGTGGGTGACACGGACCAGGTAGGGGACCCTTATGGCATCTACTTTGAGAGGGCACGGGAAGAAACAAGCAGCCAAGATGGAGAAAGCAGCCCTGCAAGGGGGGCGGTGGTTGGCAGTTAAAGCACCAGCCAGGGCTCTGGAGGGAGGGGAGGAAGGGGCAGGCCTCCTCACCCAGCTCTGCTGGATCCGGTATTTGCACAAGAAGCCAGAAATTAAAAGTTGCAGCGGGAAAATATCTTTAAAGGACAGAGACTGATACGACTGATAGAATATCACAGGCCGTGTTTCATACTGGCCCATGAGCCTCCAACTGGCCGTGGCACCAGGCAGGCACCTGCTCGTTCTTTCCAAGAAGGACCGCACACAATAAGCGAGCTGGGTTCCTGTGTAATTGTGCGGTTTCTGACTCTCAAGGGAACGTGAACTGACTGGGAACCGGAACTCCTAGTGGCTTCTGAATTTACTCCTGGTGTTCCAAAGGAGGAGCGAGAGGTGCCAAACCACCGGCCATTCGCCAGAACACTTCTCCTCTGTGCCTTTCATATCCTGGGCTCTCCTGGTGGCCGGGGTGCAAGCCAGCCGGGGACAGGTACCTAGCCCTGAAGAATCGGATGTGATCTCATAGATTCTCCAGATCTGGAATATTCCCGAACATAAGACCCTCAGCAGTCTCTGATGCCCTTTTAACCTTAAATCTTTTTTTTAAATGTTCATGAGGGAGTACACATACGTGAACGGAGAGGGCCGGAAACCGAGACAGGATCCGAAGCAGAGAGCACAGAGCCCGACGCGCGGCTTGAACTCGCAAACCTTGAGATCATGACCTGAGCTGAAATCAAGACTCAGATGCTTAATCAGCTGAACCACCCAGGCGCCCCTAACCTTAAATCTTGAGAATCTTTTAGCTAAATGTCTTAATACAATCTTAATGCCTCCACCCTGAAGATAAAGAAGTCCTCTTTCCAGAAATGAAAGTTCTTTCAGGGAAAAAGCCACGTTTGAGATCATTTTACATGCCTGATAATCGTACCTGGCGTTTAAGATTCTCGGCAAATATTTGTCGTGCCAAGTCGTGTAGCTGAGTTTATATTGTAGAACAGTGTAGACCTAAAAGACGTAGGAGACACCCACCCATGTCCACAGATCCAGACTAAAACCTGGAAGTTCATGCATTCGAATAAATCCCCTGCCCACCCATTTTTTTTTTTTTTTTTTTGGCTGTGGTTTCCTAACGAATGCAGAAAAATTCCCATTGTTGGAAGGTTCTGCTTAGTTGGGTACCCGTCAAATGATTTCCTTAATTTATAACGGAAAGTGCTATTACCGTGGCCATCATTACTCAAAGGCCAAAGCAGAAAAGGATGCCTCCTGCACCCTCAAATACGGCTTTCATCCTGTCCGATGCAGGCTGTCCTCTGGGCCGCCCTCCAAACCCTCCTTCGGTCCGCCTCTGTCCCCGGCCAGCACTCACAGGGGGAGCTTCCTGGTCTCGAGAGCAGTGAGGGCCATGGCTTTCGCCTGCCTTTCCCTGCCAGGGGACGGCGGGGGGGAGGGGGCAGTCTGCCACCCCCCGGGGTTCTCTCTGCCACCTCCATGGCCGCAGAGCACCCTGACAGTCACCTCCACATCCCAAGGCCGCCGGCTTCCAACTCCACCCTCCCAGGCACCCACCCGCTTGCCCCTAGAGAGGCAACCAGTCCTGAGGTGCCAGACTGCCTGCGTTCAAATCCCGCTCCGACCTCGGAGCGGCTCCGCCGCCCTCCCTCAGCCACGCAACCTCTGGGCACTCAGTCTCCACTTCTGTAAAATGGGAATGCCAACACCAGCCACATCCTAGCTATTAAAAGATCAAGTGGAAGGTGGCACGTCAAAAGCGCTTGAAACAGATCGTGCTCAGAGTCCGTGGCCGGCTTACCTCAGCCCTCAGTCACTCGAAACCCATCTACCTCCAAGGAACCCAGCTGTGAAATTCCCCTCAAGACCACAACTTTCTCTCTCACTAGCCAGGGGCAGACCTTCGTCTCTGCAGGGATCCCCCGAGACTCCTGACCTCTCCATATCAAGCCCGCCCCCCATCCCTCCATTTCACCGAAGAGCCTTCTCCATTCCTCAGCTTGAACAGGTAGCGCTTTCCACTCGCTCGGTAGGCGACCCTCAGCAGGCCAGACCCAGAGGAGAGGAGGAGGAGGAAGGGAGAGGAGAGGAGGGGAAAAGAAATTGCTTCAGGGGTGGGGGGGGGGGGGGGGGGGCAGTCCTTATGGGCGTGTGTTTTAGCGTAAACCCATGTTCACAGTTCTGTGCCCCACAGCTGCGGTCTTCCCCTTGGAGGGGATGTGGAAGGTTCTCGGCCCGGAAGGCGCGTGCAAGCCACCTGAGGAAGCATAAAGGTGTGCGCCAGGCTACTACCCCCTCCCAGGGCAGGCGGGGCCGGGCCTGCAGCGCAGCCCAGACCTGAATTTTGCAAAGGAAAAGCACCACTGTACCCTGGACTCATAAACTCTGGCCCAGGAGCTCAATCTGGCCCACTTCCTGTTTTGTAAGTAAAGTTTTATTGGAACACAGCCACGCTTACTCATTCGCTAGCCTGCCAAGTCAACAATGTTCTTACCCAGAAAGTATGCCAGCCTCTGCCCCAGACCGGCATGAACAATGATGATACTGGGCGCTATTCAAAACAAATCAAAATAGGGGCGCCTGGCTGGCTCGGTGGGTTGAGCATCTGAGTCTTGATTTCGATTTCGGCTCAGGCCAGGGTCCCAGGGTTGTACGAGCAAGCCCTGCGTCGGGCTCCACGCGGAGCAGGGAGCCTGCTTGAGATTCTTATCCTCTCATTCATATTCTGTCTCCCTCCCTCTCTGTTCACTGGAGAGCTCATGCTCTAAAATAAATAAAAGTGAAAAAATTTTTAAAAACAAACCAAAATAAAGCTAATTGCTACTAATGGTCCCCCACCTCCCCCCCCCCCCCCATCCCACATCTTTTTCTCTGGGGGTGGTTGAGGGGAGGGTGACTGAGGTGACAAAGGTGCCGGAGACACTCTGTATCTCCATCTCGTCTGGATACATGTATAAAAGTTCAAACCAGGGGCACCTGGGTGGCCCAGTTGGTTAAGCATCCAACTTCGGCTCAGGTCATGATCTCACGGTTCTTGGGTTCGAGCCCCACACTGGGTTCTGCACTGATGGTGCAGAGCCTGCCTGAAATTCTTTCTCTCTCAGTCTCTCTCTGCTCCACCCCTACTAGCCCCCTCTCTCCTGCTCAAAATAAACAAACTTTAAAAAAAAAGTTCAAACCATCTACTTTAGCGTACTTTATGTACATTATACCTTTGACAAGTTTTGCTTGAAGCTCCTGACCAGAGAAATCTTTGCAAATCACCCTAAAAACTCTACATGTGATACAATCCAGTAATCACGCTGCTCAGGATTTACTCAAATGAGTCTAAAACTTCAGTCCACACCTACCACAGGACACAGTTATTTACAGCAACCTTATGCATCACTGCCCCAAACTGGGAGTGACCCAAGATGTCCTCAATAGGTGAATCGATCGTCTGTGGGTCCTTCCACACAGGGGAATGTTATTTAGCCCTAAAAAGCAATGAGCTCTCAAGCCATGAAAAGGCCAAGAGGAACCTTAGATGCATGTTACAAAATCAAGCCAGTGTGAAAAGGCTGCTTACTGTAGGACTCCAACACTAGGGACATTCTGGGAAAAACTGAATGGTAGACACAGTTAAAAAAAAAAAAAAAAGTTGCTAGGGGTTGTGGACAGTGGGGGGAAGGGAGAGAAGAATACGGGGATTTTCAGGGCAGTGAAATACTCTCCACAACACAATGGTGGATACAGGTCATTATGCTTATGTCAAAGCCTAGAAAATGCCCACCACCAGCACGGACCCTCATGTAAACAAGGGACTGTAGGTAACAATGCCGTGTTGGTTTGTAACACATCCAAGACACTAATGCAAGCTGTTAATAGGGGAAACTTTGGGGCGGGGGAGGGCTCATGGGGACTCTGTACTGTTTGCTCATTTTTTCTGTAAACCTAAAACTACTCTAAAAAAATGGACGCAGAGGCTGGTGGATGGGGGTTGGGGAGAGGCTGTGTCTAAACAAAGTAAAAAAAATAAAATCGGGGGAGGTCCCACAAGGACACAAGTCCCCTGTTCCATTTTTTTCTTTAAGGTTAATTTTGAGAAGGTGAACAGGGGAGGGAAAGAGAGAGAAAGAGAGAGGGAGAGAGAGAATCCCAAGCAGGCTCCGGGCTATCAGTGCAGAGCCCGACAGGGGTTCAATGTCACAAACTGTGAGATCATGACCTGAGCTGAAATCAAGAGTCAGACGCCTAACCGACCAAACTACCCAGGCGCCCCTCCCATACGCTTCTAAGGAAGGTCTGACTTGAGGGGGAAAGGTTGGTTTAATCCCAAATTCAGCAGA